TATATATATATATGATTATTGGAATGTAACAAAAGAAAATATTTTTATTTATACTAATTTTATATTAAGTTTATATATTATATAAAGTTTCCCCTTTAAGTTGTAATAGAAGACGTAATAGAATTTGAAGATATTAAAATTTCTTGTATGAAATTTCAGAATATAAAATATCATATCTTATAAGATAATTCTATGTATTCTATATCTTGTCTATGTTCGTATCATTGTTTTTAACTAAATAATAATACAAATTTCCTAAATATTTTGTTTCCGATTTCATTACGTGAATCCGTTCCGGATTCATTCGTTAACATAATATTGTAGACGAATCTCATCTGTGATGATATATCATCATAGATGTCGTACCTTACACAGTACTATTTGAATCTAACTGAAAAGCGCGAAAACATATAATCTTGTAGTTCTGTCTTTCGGAATAATTTGTATTTAAACTTATTAATTTTCAATAAAAAATCAAAATCATGACAAGTTTATTAGATCTTTGTGAACAATACTTCGGTGCTCGTGATTTTTATGAAGTTTTAAAAATTCCAAGAACTGCTAATGACAAACAAGGTGTGTACACATAACCTATTTGATACAAATTTATTTTGAAATAAAACATATTTGTTAAATAAAAACTATTATTATATTTAAATTTCAAATAAAAATTATTTTTAACATTTTTTTCAGTAAAAAAAGCATATCATCAATTATCTTTACTCGTACATCCTGATCGAGTTGAGGAAGATATCAAAGCAGAAGCAACAGAAAAATTTAAAGTTCTTGGACGAATTCATTCTATTCTTAGTGATAATGAAAAACGTAAAATTTATGATCAATCTGGTCAATATGATGAAGAAAGCGAAGAAATTATGATGAGGAATTGGGCTGATTATTGGAAATCTTTATTCAAGAAAATTTCAGTAGAAGATATCAACAATTATGAAAAAAATTATAAAGGATCTGATATAGAAATTAATGATTTAAAGCGTGCTTACATGGATAGTATGTAAATTTAATAAACATAATAAGTATAACATAATAAGTAATAACATAATACATATACTAATTGAATTAATAAATTTAATTTATTAAAATAGTAATTTCTGTTAATTAGGCAAAGGAGATATGGATTATATCTTAGAAACTGTTCCTTTCACTAACTGTGATGATGAACCAAGGTTACATAATATTATTCAAGGACTCATAGAGAAAGGTGAAGTACCAGAATACAAAGCATTTACACAAGAAAATGATAAGAAAAAACAACGTAGAAAACGTAAGGTAAGTATTAAGAAAAAAAACATTAAAATAATATATCAAAAACTTATGTTTATATATTTTCAAAATTTTAATGTTTTCAATGTTTATATTTTATGTGTATATTTTATATGTATAATGTTAATAATTTCTAATATTTTTTTAATATTTCAATTAAGTTAAATTGGATGATTATATCATTTAAAAAAATTAAATGAGAATTTAAAAAGTTATAAATAATTGTTTACTTTTAATCAAATATTTTCAAATGCATACAATCATATCAATGTCAAAAATATCGAAAAGATGCGTTTAAGTAGGAACGCGCTCGTAAATTTAAACATGATATCCCACTCCTTCAATTATACTATAGATCATCTTAGATCTCATGAACAAGTGAGCAGCATGCTATTTCAAGCTTTTCTATTTTTGTCAATACATAGTACTGCATCACGATTGGATGCAATAGGAGGTGGACGAGTAGTATGATGGAAGGGGGAATACTAGTAAATAAGTAAAGACAGAACGCAAGAGAAGATTCAGTCTTAGATAGAACAATTAAATTCTAGTTCATCGCTAAACATTGCAGAATTTTCGACTAAAATCCCTATTACGATGATTATGTGAATTATTCAAATTTGTGAATGACAAATAATGTTACGTATTTTATCTTATACAAAACTGTGATTTATCTTAAGAATTTTTTAAACAATTAATAAAAATGGGTGCTATTATTAAACTGTTATTGTGTGCTGTATTATGTGCGAGTGTACAGGGAGTGTGCAGACGTGTGAAGAACGAGGATATGATTGAATACTCTTGCATGGGTGGTCAACTTTCTGATTTAGATAATCTTCCAATATCGACAGGAAAAATTCGAATTTCTAACATGCCTATTCGTCAAATAACTGCAAATACTTTTTCGAGATTCGGTTCGGATCTTTGGGTTCTAGGTTGCTCCCATTGTGGCATAATAGACATCGAACCAAGAGCTTTTCAACGTCTAAATAATCTTCAACAATTAAGCTTAAACAATAATCACTTGACCATTGTAAAAGAATCCTGGTTCAAAGGTTTAGATTATTTGACATATTTGGATTTGAATTACAATAATATAGAATCTATCGAGGATGGCGTATTTTTAAGTCTACCCAGTCTTGTTGACTTAAGATTATCTGGTAATCGTTTAGAATGTTTGAATCTTGTAGCTATGTCACAATTGAAAGATTTAAAAAGAATATTTCTCAGTGAAAATTCTGAGTTTAAATGTCCAAACGCTATTAGTATTTATCTTGAGGATCGTGGAATAAATTTTGAAAAGGACCCAGAATGGAGTAGATTACCAAATGATTTAATTCCAGTAACAATCCCACTTGATTATGATGACATAACAGCTATAAAGATGCCGGTACAACCCTATTCTGGCTATCGTGAAAGATTACATCCAACAACGACAATATCAACATCAACTATGACATCGACATTACAATATATTACACCAAAATTTCAGACAACTGAAGAAGTAATTTATCGTCCATACAATATTCCAAATTGGAAAACAATTTTCAAATCATCTACGATTCGCTATGAAGACAAAATAAAAATTACACAAAGTCCGTCATATGAATACACAAAAGCATCATATATTCCACAAAAAACTATTGCATCAATCGAATCTACAACATATGTATCATCACCGCGTGGGACAGTGCAAGATAATAGCCAAGAAACAACGACCTTCAGAACTTGGCCAACTTTCTCGGAATCTAGTACCAGAATCGAATATCCCGTTTATCCATCCCATAAAAACGAGGACAAACATTATACAAAACAACCAGATTATTCAAGTCCAATAGACTCATTCTCTTTGGCACCTAATCAAGGTGATCATCATCAAATATCTTCTGCAGAGCTTGATATGAAACAAACTATGACTTCTTATAGAACTGATTCGTTAGAAAAGAACTTTATTCTATCGAATGTGCAGTATCCACCCAATATTGAAAACAGATTATCATCGATAGATTCTTCAGACACAATTTATAGTACACAATCTATATTTTCATCAGAAATGATTCAGCCTGCTTATTCAGATGATATACATTCGAATATCCTACCTATTGTTAAAAACGGGACAGAATCAATGGATTCTTCAAATTCAACTCGTATTATACAATCTATACCTTATTCACCACCATCAATGGTTCAATCCGCTTATCCAAATAATATATATCAACCGCCTTATTACGAGTCTACAGTCACTGTTCATTCACCGCCATTGATAGATAATAAGTCACAGCAGAAGGAAGTAAGTCCGGGAATCGTACCAATTGAAACAACTACTGATAAACCATTACCTGAATGTCCGACAAGGAATTTATCGATATCAAATCAGAGTTCGATTAGAATGATCATTGTTTCTGTTCTTCTCATGATTACGAATCATGTCTTTGCGAGGGGACTTTAACTAAAAGTTTCATTTAATTTAATTATTTCATCTGTATAATTCACCGAATTTTTAAAAAACGGATTAAATTTATATTGATGAAATGTTTGAAACATGTGTGATATACCTGTGTTAAACATCGGACTAATGGAATTAAATGAAATGATATGTATTGAATCGTTTAATCAAAAACATTTTAAATTGAATAAACGAACTGTGGCTACTTTTTTTCGTTTATTAGACCATTTTAAGAAGATCAAATTTAAGAAACTGTTTATCGCAATATGTTATCAGAAAAGTCAACTTAAACGATTGATTCTTCAAAAGCACTGTAGAGCCAGCAAAATCCATAGCGTACGTATATATTCTAATTTCATATTTTATGTTCATTGTTATATCTTAAGCTGATAAAATGCTGATGATAACATTAAAAATGGATTATATAGCACTATAACTATTATAGTTTTATGTAATTTTTAACTACTCTTTGAAAGATGTTACAAATATTTCGTAATTTTATGTATAATTAATATATTAAATAATGCCAAATATCTCAATCTTTTTAATTAAAATTTATTATTATAACTTATAACACACATATAATTATTTTTTTATAGTGGAAAATTAAAATTCCATTAGAAAGTTTATATTATTATATTTTGATTTTATTATAATAGTTAATGGTTAAATAAATATAAAAAAATAAATAATCGATAAAATCAAATATAAAACTTACATTAATAATAAATTTATATTAGAAATTAGAATGAAAGAAAAAAGTTAAAATTATTTTTTAATAGTGAAACAAATTCGTTTTCATCTTCTAGATTTTGTTGCAAAAAATAACTTGTGTGAAATTAATTATTAATATTTTTTTATAGGATTTTAAAATTTTAATTTTTTCTTAATTTTTCTTAATATATTTTTATTTTTATTATATAATAATTTTATTTTTCATTGATTTTATGAATTTATTGATATTTTAAAATAAATATATAAAAAAAAAATATTCATAATATAAATAAATAAATTTACAATACTTGTAAAATGATAATTTTTCTCAATATAATTTTATTTTTTTTTATTTTTGTTTTTGTACCTAAAACATTATTTTTTGAAAAAATTTATATTAAAATCCTGCTATTATTGAAAAATAATTTATAAAATCAATGAAAATAATTTTTAAATGGTATCTTAATGCTCAAATTCAGATTTTAACAATATAAATGTTATTATAAAATACATAATAATTTTTGTTTGATCTTTGAAGAAATCAAAAAATATAAAATTAAAAAAAATACATTTCGTTCACTAACTAACTTCAATATAACTAACTTCACTAACTAACTTCAATATAACTAACTTCACTAACTAACTTCAATATAACAAGTTTGTTATCATTCAAAATATTTTTTTTTTCATTTTTTTTAAAAACATTTTTTTTTTAAAAACAAATATTTTTAAAAACAACGAACATAGGAATAAATTATTCAAAATTTTGAAATTCTCCAAAATCTAAGAAGTTTGAATTTTTTAATGTTTTTTATTTAATCTCAAAATTTTTTGCTATTTTTGAGATTAGAATTTTCGAAATTAAAATAAATAATAAATAATATTTCAAAAAATAATATTTAATAAAAAAAATAATA